TTTTGAATTTACCTTTTTTAAATTCAGCTGGTGTTAATATGGTGAAGAAGCAAACAAAAGTGTTGTTATTTTTCTAACTTCTTTTTTTTTTGAAATAGGAGTATACAATTGTCAAAAATATTTCAATATGGCCAAATTTAAATAAAATGATCTATTTTGTGGGACGGTCCAAAATCCAATATAGTCACCATGGATGACTGCCATTAAAAAATTGATGAGCAACCCATTTAACAACCTTTCTTTAAATGATCCTTGGATGGTTCTAACCTTTTTTTTACTGGGTCTGTCAAAAATACAATATGGCCACTATGACTGCCATTCAAAAAACCCACTTAAAACCTCTTCTCCAGTTCTGCTGGTGCCATAATGATTTCTGAAATTGTCCTGTTTTTTTTTTTTTTTTTTTTGTAAATTTACTCCTCAAATATTTAGAATTGTTTTAATCATATAATAACTGTTTGTATTGAAGAAGTCACTACTGCTATTGTTTTTGTAGAGGTCTCCTCAGTCTGATGACTGTTATAGCTCATGGGTCTCCTTTTAATTCTCTTAAATATTTAGGATAAAAGAATTGATATGTGTTGAAAAATGGGAACACAACCAAAAATGAAAAGGATAGGATACTGAAGAGAGATTTATTGCTAAAAGGATAGGATACTGAGGAGAGATTTACTGCTTAAAGGATAGGATACTGAGAAGAGATTTATTGCTTAAAGGATAGAATACTGAGGAGAGATTTACTGCTTAAAGGATAGGATACTGAGGAGAGATTTACTGCTTAAAGGATAGGATACTGAGGAGAGATTTACTGCTTAAAGGTTAGGATACTGAGGAGAGATTTACTGTTTAAAGGATTGAATACTGAGGAGAGATTTACTGCTTAAAGGATAGAATACTGAGGAGAGATTTACTGCTTAAAGGATAGAATACTGAGGAGAGATTTACTACTTAAAGGATTGAATACTGAGGAGAGATTTACTGCTTAAAGGATTGGGAAGAGAGAAGTTAATCAATAAGGACTGAGTAGAGGAAAGATACTGATGAAAAGGATCGAGTAGAGAAGGGATTTATCACTAAAAGGATTGGGTGTTAAAACGAGATTTATTGCTAAAAGGATCAAGTTTACTTTAAGTTAGGAATCAATTTGTTGATCGTAATTATAAGCTACATGTTTAACATTAATCTTACATAAACAATGTAGATCGTTGTTGAATCTATTATGAAGATAGGATTTAGAATCCAATGCATACTGCTTTGACTTCTAACAAAGAAGCAAACAAACCTAAGGTTATGCGTGAGCATAGCGTTTCCTCCACACTGATTATTGGAAGGCAGCATTACTTTGGTACAGCAAAGTCCTCATCAGGAAGAATCAATAAGATAGCCGACCGGTCTCCTGTTCCACTGTTGTTCAATTCATTTACAGATATATTTTTAGCATCCTGAAAAGCAATCTTTCTATAGTAATGAATCTGAGACCTTTACTGTTACCAACTGGGTATTCCTTATAAGGACTTAGATCTTTAGGCAGCAGGATGATCCTTCTGTGTATCATACATGCTGATTTCCAATGTAATAACGTTGTAGAATGTTACTGTATAGACTTATGGACTAAATATAGTAACAGCAAAGGGATTAAATCGAAGCAGAGTGACTTAATTTTATCATTTTCCAAATATACATTTATATAAAGATAACCTGTCTATAAAGACCAGGTATACATTTATATAGATACATATATCACCTCCTACAAAGACCAGGTTTACATTTGTATAAAAAAAATTCCTGTCTATAAAGACCAGGTATACATTTATATAGATACATGTATTACCTCCTACAAAGACCAGGTATACATTTGTATAAAAAAATTCCTGTCTATAAAGACCAGGTATACATTTATATAGATACATGTACTACCTCCTATAAAGACCAGGTATACATTTGTATAGATACATGTACTACCTCCTATAAAGACCAGGTATACATTTATATAGATACATGTACTACCTCCTATAAAGACCAGGTAAACATTTGTATAGAAATTTCCTGTTTATAAAGACAAGGTATACATTGATATAGAGATTACCTGCTATAAAGACCAGGTATACATTTTTATAAAGATTACCTGTCTATAAAGACCAGGTATACATTTATATAGATACATGTATTACCTCCTACAAAGACCAGGTATATATTTATATATTCACCTGCCTCTACAAACCAGATATGATTTATCAATGAATATCACCTGTCTATACAGACCAGATACAATGTATGAATGAATATCACCTGCCTATACAGACCAGATACAATGAATCAATGAATATCACCTGCCTATACAGACCAGATATAATGTATCAATGAATATCACCTGCCTATACAGACCAGATACACTGTATCAATAAATATCACCTGCCTATACAGACCAGATATAATGTATCAGTGAATATCACCTGAAAGCTTTACTGTTCAACAATTGAACTAAATAATGAAAATTGATGAGATGCAACTATGATAGTCCCAATGGTTAATTCCAATGCAGACATAATTATCTACCACTTACTGAAATCCTGTTGATTAGTCATCAGATATTATGATAACCTGTTTATACATTGTATTTATTGTAGGCCACATTCACATCATCTTTCTACCTACTGATGTTGTGAATATCGTTAGCAGTTTGTCTAAATTAGGGATTCTGGAATGACACAATACATACAAATGAATTCAATCATTTGTTTTATTTAGAAAATTTCTAATTAATTTATTTTTAAGTGCATTGCAAGTTATTCCCCAATAAAAATTTTGTGTCTGGTGTATTCCAATGAGAAAAGGGAAAAATATTACATATTATAAAATTCTCTTTCATCTGAGAGCCTTTGGAATGACAAAAAGGCTGATTCAGTGTTGAAGACTGTTTTTTTCAAGCATAGAGGATGTAGGTGCAGCATAATGTATATTTAACAGGAGATTGGCAGGCAGTAACATCGATCTACAATGCACAGTGTGTCGGATATTGATTGTAGCTGATAGAATGTTGGTGTGTGGGCGTAACAGAGACAGTGTCTATTGGGCTGTTTCCCCATATAGCTGATTCTTGTTATTGTCTTTGAATTGTACCAAAGTTAGATATAATTTGGATCATAACAACGTCACTTACGTCAGATAACCAGCTTTAGTCTGTTGTATATAAATACTACTGCCTATAACAAATTTAGAATGGGAGTATGTACATTGTTTTCCCTGAAATTCACTCTCTTGAACATGTCTTTAAATTTCATGCAGAATACCAAATTATCCATATTCATGTTTCCTTGGAAACAGCAAAGAAAATTAACATAAAGTATTGGTTGTTTTCATTCTGGATAATCCTTAATTTACTCCTCCAAAATATTGACACAGATTTGTTTAAAGAGTCATATACCATTGAAAGGAAGCAGATGTCAAAGTGATTGAGTATCAACACGTACATTTTGGTGTGGATCTAAACAAAATCAAACATCCTTCCCTTAATATGTACCACAGCCACACATTATCTTCATAGAGAGATCCAATCAGACACATTACATATTTCCTGACCATCACAGCCACACATTATTTACATAGAGATCCAATCAGACACATTACATATTTCCTGACCATCACAGCCACACATTATCTTCATAGAGAGATCCAATCAGACACATTACATATTTCCTGACCATCACAGCCACACATTATCTACATAGAGAGATCCAATCAGACACATTACATATTTCCTGACCATCACAGCCACACATCATTTACATAGAGAGATCCAATCAGACACATTACATATTTCCTGACCATCACAGCCACACATTATCTACATAAAGAGATCCAATCAGACACATTACATATTTCCTGACCATCACAGCCACACATTATCTACATAAAGAGATCCAATCAGACACATTACATATTTCCTGACCATCACAGCCACACATTATTTACATAGAGAGATCCAATCAGACACATTACATATTTCCTGACCATCACAGCCACACATTATCTACATAGAGAGAGATCATTACAATCAGACACATTACATATTTCCTGACCATCACAGCCACACATTATCTACATACACAGAGATCCAATCAGACACATTACATATTTCCTGACCATCACAGCCACACATTATCTACATAGAGAGATCCAATCAGACACATTACATATTTCCTGACCATCACAGCCACACATTATCTACAAAGAGAAATCCAATCAGACACATTACATATTTCCTGACCATCACAGCCACACATTATTTACACATTACATATTTCCTGAGACACATTATCTACACAAAGAGATCCAATCAGACACATTACATATTTCCTGACCATCACAGCCACACATTATCTACACAAAGAGATCCAATCAGACACATTACATATTTCCTGACCATCACAGCCACACATTATCTACATAGAGAGATCCAATCAGACACATTACATATTTCCTGACCATCACAGCCACACATTATCTACACAAAGAGATCCAATCAGACACATTACATATTTCCTGACCATCACAGCCACACATTATCTACATAGAGAGATCCAATCAGACACATTACATATTTCCTGACCATCACAGCCACACATCATTTACATAGAGAGATCCAGTCAGACACATTACATATTTCCTGACCATCACAGCCACACATTTAATACATAAGATGTGAGGATGGTTTCAAATATTTAAAAGAAAATATAAATTTGATTTGAAATTCTTCCATGACATGAAGGACCTATGATTGTATCATTTTTAGAAATTGTTGGAATCCAGTTGCTGAGCATAAATTGATTAATTATTTAATTTTGTGTCCTTAGTTTTTCGTCACGGTGACTATATTCAGATCAATTGATATCATGATTCGTGATAAGGCAAAACGTATGCTACAATGGGCTCTGCATTATTTTTGACGCAATCTTCTGAAGTTCAAATAAATGATTTTGTTGTTTCATTTCTTATTGTAGGTGAGCTACATGGAGATTTATTGTGAACGTGTACGTGACCTTTTGAACCCAGGCAACAAGAACACCCTGAGGGTGCGAGAACATCCTCTCCTAGGCCCCTATGTGGAGGACCTTTCCAAATTGGCCGTCCAGTCCTTCCAGGACATCAGCAATCTCATTGACGAGGGCAACAAAGCCAGGTAAGTGTGATGACAAGGTATGGTGAGGGTAAGGGTGAGTTCAATAAGGCAGGATTAGGGTTATTGCACTAATGCATGGTATTAATGAAGGCATTGAGGCAAGGTAAAGATAAGTACACCCACACCCAAGATTAGATAATGATGACAAGAACAAGGTGAAGAGTTCATGATAGGAACAAAGACTTTGTTGCAGTTTATAGAGTTTAGATACAAGTTATATTGTTAGACTTGATATGGTGTTAAATGTTACTGACACCAGAATCAAATACATATGTAAGGCGTTCATAATTTTTTCTTCAAATCTTAGTGTCAGGTGATACTCTTGTGTTCTACAGAACTGTGGCTGCCACCAATATGAATGAGACAAGCAGTCGGTCACATGCTGTCTTCACAATCATCTTCACTCAGAGAAAGAAAGACCTGGCCACAAAAATGACGGGAGAAAAGGTTGGTAACTGATTTACAGTCATTGTAGACTTCAAATCTGCTTACTTCTTCAGCACTGATTGCTGGTTATTCAATTTACTCTGAAAAACAAATTTAAAAGTCTGTCGAAATAAAAGAAAATTTCTTTTGCAGGTCAGTAAGATAAGTCTTGTAGATTTGGCAGGAAGTGAGCGAGCTGACTCGACAGGAGCTAGTGGCACACGTCTAAAGGAAGGCGCTAATATCAACAAGTCCCTGACAACTCTCGGCAAAGTCATCTCAGCCCTTGCTGAATGTGTAAGTAATGAAAACACAAGAATGTCTGGAAGGTGATCAGGTGTAAATATAAACAACATGATTTCACAAAAATAATATATAGGAAAGGTAGTCTTTTTTTAAACAGACGATATGTGTAGGATTTGTATTCCATGCATTTTGACGTCAGAGATTTTCACAAATAAAAACAATTGTCCAAAAAAATAATGAACAGAGCAAATTAGCAGACTCTTCTAGAGACATATATATTTGTATATAAATTTCATCAAACAACTGCATAATTATTTAAACAGTCAAATGTAATTGTGAAACATAGCAAAAATTGAATTAACAGTATCTTCATTCTCTGTGTTAATTCTCTGCTTTCCCTGTCATGTTTCCTCTACATAGAGTGCTCTAGAATCTTCTGGGAAAGTAAGTGAAGGAAACATGTTGTGGTTATCTCCCCTGTTTTGTGGTTATCTCCCCTGTTTTGTGGTTATCTTCCTTGTTATGTTCTGTTTGTGTGTTCTGTGCCCTACGTTTCTTTTGTACCATGCATAATGCAAGCATTATAATAATTAGAATTGATTATATGTGTTTTTTTTTTGTTCCACTTAGAGTAGGTATTTTCCCTCTCAACCAATTAAAATCACATACATGTGACCAAATTTTTATTAACTATTAATTTATATATTGTTTACATGCATTAGATAATTTTATGGGGTGAAATGAAAATCTGGCTGATAACTCATTTTAATATAAATCAAAATTTAGTCTGTAAAACCACAATTACTCAGAAAATGTATAGCCTGCATTTATTTTGGTTGAAGGATATATTAGTTAGATTTACGGAAAACTTTTGATTTTTGTTGTATGATAATTATTTTAGAAACTCATTTAAAAAAGATTTAGGTGTTTTCTTATGGTTTTATTTCATTTCTGAAGGAATTGTCAAATGCGTAAAACTACAGAAATGAAAAATTTGAGTTTATAATTTTTTGCATGGCTCTGGTCTTGCCATATTTATGTTATGGTAATAAGTGGTATGGTATGATTGTGTGATATCAAAGTGTTAAAGCTTTGAAGATTATAATGCTATCAAAACTGGAACTTTGCATTTTTTATAAAAGTTCTAAAGTAGCTGTGAACACTGAAATGGTTTAAGGAGCCTTCTCTGTCTTGTTTCTTCTTTTATTCCTTTCTCTCACTTGTCTACTTCCCACCTCTTCTGTTCTTCTTGATGTAAGTCAGTGCCTTTAATGAGACCCAGGTACTAATATAATTAATTTGTTAATGTAATTTTCTATGAAGTGTAAATTAATTATCAGTACTGATATATGCAGTGTTTTTACATTTTTTTTGTATCTTGAAATGTCATGTTTTCGTTTTGTAATATAAAACAATCTATATAGATCCTGATTGGAATTTTCAGCACATACTTGTACTATGAAGATGGCTGTTATTGGCCTCTATCATGAAAATCTTGCTTTAATTTCTTTTTGATTCCTGAAGTCAGAGTTATATAAAGACCATTTCTCACTGTCTATTGTCCAGATCGCCCTTTTGGTTATTATAACATGGTCAGTAGTTTTAGTCTAGATGGTAAATTTGGTCAAAACTTACCTAAATAATAAAGAATGGATTCTTTTTGTATGTACTGATATTTGTTCTGCTTTAATTTATTTAGTCGAGTAAGAAGAAGAAAAAAGAAAATTTCATTCCGTACAGAGATTCTGTTCTGACATGGCTCCTCAGAGAAAATCTTGGTAAGTAAATAATATATATATATCCGTCCATCAAGATTAAATTCAAAGGAAATTCTCGCAATGGTAGAATGTTACATGCTAAAGTCCATGTGGCTTTGTAGCTGACCTTTGTCCCATGACCTAGAAAGATGGGAGGAGAAGGATCAACACTGTAATTAGGTAGATATAAGAGACCTTTACCCTTTATAAACCCCCAAGAGGGGATAGAGCATAGAGCTGGTAGGTTCACTTAAGTCTAGATCCTACAAAAAAAACTTCTTTTTCCTTCTTTTGTTCTAGACAGACTTTTCGGCAATCTACAAATAATACATTCATGTATTCTCCATTACTTAACACAAACACATTCGAAATAGATCTTTCCTTGGAGAGGTCAAATGAAAATGAATATAGAAATGATATTTTTGTTTAAGAAGATTGTAATAGATTTGTGTTTAATTGTTTTACAGGTGGAAACTCTAAGACAGCTATGGTGGCAGCTCTGAGTCCGGCTGACATTAACTATGATGAAACTCTCAGTACATTAAGGTAGATAATCTCTAGCTTGTAATATTTTTTCAGAGCGATAAAGTGAACATACATTATATATGTAATTATTGTTTCATACGGACATTTCTGGCCTAATTTCTCAGACTCTGAATTACAAAATGTCAGTTTGTAGATTTTAGAAGAATTCACCTATTGATTTTATAATACGGGCTTTTTAATTTGATATCTCTGTTAGTTGTATTTTTTGTTTTGAAAAATCATTTTAAATCTGTCTGGTTATACTGTTTAAATAGCCAAGTTCTTCTGGTGTCCACAGGTATGCAGACCGAGCCAAACAAATTGTATGTAAGGCTGTGGTCAACGAGGATCCAAATGCCAGGCTTATCCGCGAACTCAAGGAGGAGGTTGCCAAACTGAGGGAGATTCTCGTACAAGAGGGGATAGAGCTTGGAGCTGGTAGGTCCACTTAAGTCCAGATCCTACACAGACATTTGATGATTTTGTGTCTACTTTTTCTGAACATGGAATTCCAAAATACCTGTGTCAATCTCTTACTGGTCAGGTTTAAATTTCATTTTCTTTGTAGTTGTATTCGGGCACAGTAATGTTGATTACTTCAGCAATGTAGTTTTGAGAATTACAATGTGGTAGGGATAACAACTAGAAGTCAATAGTTTTTGAAACTTATGCAATGACCTCTAATGTATTAAAATAAAGTCATATTTCATGATAAATGTATTTGACTGGTACAATATTATGAAAAATTTTGTGATTTTTCTTATAATTGGAAATTCAAGAGTATCGCATCACCATTAATATGGCTTTTCAGTATTTTACCTTTAAGAATACACTACATTTCTCAGACACAGTTATTGTTGATATGTATCAACCCCCATCATAGTGATGTTTTGACTTCATATGCACTTTACATAAAGTCTCGAGACAGGAATACTGAGTCACATATACATTGACATCAAATTTCACAAAGTGCAATCTCTAAATGACATGAATGTGATACCAAATTTATATTACCAGAAATAGCATTGTCCAAACCATTCAAAATGTCTTCGTCTGTCTGATTATATGATGCTGTCTAGATACTAGATATATTCTCTTTATTCAAGTATACAACAACCTGCTGTAGAGATTTATAACATTGCTCTCAGGATACTTACTCCAATAAACAGAACATAGCTGCATCCATATAGACAAGTCAATGGGTTTTGTTTATTTGCAAAAGTATTATTCATATTTAACTCTGTATTACAAACCATAATGACAAAATATAAGATTTGACATAAAATTTTGTGACTCTTGTCATTCTGTTCATGAAAACAGCATCATAGTTATGGTGACATCATCAGTTCAGGCATTTATTACATTGAATCCATATGTTAATTAGCAAAGTCTGAGGGTGCAACATAGACATAAATGTTAATAACTTCTCAAAAATCAAATTTACATTCTTAATTTACTAGGACTTCAAGGTCTGCCTTCAGCCCCCAAGGTGCCAACGGGACCTGGGTCACGGTCAAGAAAAAACTCAGTGTCCATAGAAGGAGGAGAGGATGCTATTGAGAGACTTCAGATGTCAGAGAAACTAATCGCAGAGTTGAACGAGTCCTGGGAGGAGAAACTCAGAAAAACAGAGACCATTCGCAAGGAAAGGTAGGGAGAGGGCTAATTTAGTCTTTAGCCTTTTGCTCAATACATACACATTAAATTTACTCAAGAAAATCTCTGTGAAATGAAAGGTAAACTTCATGCTTACTGCTGTAAAAATAATGCTGTCATGTGATAAATTGTCATTTACTAAGAAAAATCATTCATAAATTTTCTTCCTAAAATCACAACAAAATTTTGAATTTCATATTTTTACTCAAAATTACAAAAGATCATTTGCGAATCATTTGTTTCATCGTTTGACTAAAATAGCACCAACAGATTCTGTTTTTGAATAATATTATGCCTTGTATTTTATATAATATTTGGAACCTGTTGACAGAGAGGCTGTGCTGGCAGAAATGGGTGTGGCTCTACGAGAGGATGGTGGAACAATTGGAGTGTTCTCTCCCAAGAAGGTAATACATGACACCTTATCAACTGAATATTTTGATATTACAGATAGAAAGTTTTTTACTCAAGTCCTTTATTGAAATTTTCGATGAACTACTTTTCCTTGAAAGAAACGAATCAGTACATTAATTTATTTTGTGAAAAGTTATGAAAAGAATCTTTCAAATGTAAGAATTTGTCCTGGAACATTAGATTATTCCAGTCATGAAATTAGTATCTTACTTTCAGTATGAACAGTAGGAAACCACAAATCTCTATTTTCCTCAGTGTATGTGTATATTGAAATGTAAACAGCCATGTCAGAAGACAGTTTATTCACCAAATTAATTGACGCCATATTAAATTTGTGAACCACAGTCTCCCCACCTTGTAAATCTTAATGAAGATCCACTGATGTCAGAGTGTTTAATCTACTACATCAAGGCAGGCTCCAACACAATGTAAGTCACTCCTTTTTATTAGTAATTGTCTGTTTTTGATAATGAATTCATGAATTCATACAAGATTTTAAAATTTTAGTGTAACAAAGTACTTTCCACCAGAAAATCAATGAACAATTGATTTCACATTATGTATTGTAAGATTTGTATTTATAAGCCTAGGAGATTAAAAGAGAGATGAAAAATATCTGTGTATTTAAATGAAACAAGGTTTCATTAAAGTGAAGTGTCACTGAAGTACATATAGAACAGTTGGTGAGGTTCTGCTGTTTTGTGATACATGTAATCTAGAAACAATTTGTTTATTATTCAGGGTCGGCCACGGAAAATCTTCAAAACAGCATGACATTCAGCTTAGTGGTTCCCATATACTGGAGGAGCACTGTTACTTCTCCTGTGAGGACGGTAAGTATCTACCAAAACAAAATGATAAATAAACAAAATAAATTAATAAATAGATAAAGAAAATAAATGAAAACAATAAATATACATGTTATAAATAAAAATCTACAAGAAAGATACCAAACTGACCTATCAGAACAAGAAGTTTGTTGATAAATATTAATTATTGTTCATTAAAAAATTCTGTTTTGTAATATTAGCTCAATAAATCTACTCGTACAAATTTTAACAATTGGTGGATTAAGAGTACCCAAAAAATCACCGAAAAATAAATCACCCTCAATAATTAATTATTGCACAGTATATTTAAAAAATGAATTTACACATTTGAGTGGAAGTACTGCTCAAAAAGCATATCATTATATTGGCTCAATTATATATTATGGCATGTATTTCTTGCCAACAATTTTTTAAACATGAACCACCTAATAATTAATGTCCATGTATTGTTAGATTATTTAAAACATTTGTCATTGCTACATTATATCATGGTGGTATTAATAATATTTTGATTTGTTTCTTCAGAAAAAGTCACCCTATCTCCTATGGGCGAGGCGATGTGCTACGTCAATGGTCGACAGATTACAGAACCAACAGAACTGAAGACAGGAGCTCGTGTCATTCTCGGCAAACACCACGTGTTCCGATTTAATCACCCTATACAAGGTCAGTGAAATACTCTCTTGACCTAGCCATTGTAGAGATAGAATAGACTAAGGTACCTCTTTCTCGTACATGAATGAGGAAAATTTCACATGCACATGTTAGATTCTTCTGTCTCGTCAAATCTGTCTGGTACCTTTATGCAATATTTTGTGCTAAAGGAGGTCATAATTAAAAGTATATCACATTCAGTTATCTTTCTCACATATATCCAAACAGGAAGGTAACAAATTGAAGAATTTGGAAATGAAACTAGCACAGAAAATGTTTGAAATTGATATATCTCAATCAAAGCCTCAGATGAGGTTTTATTACGTCACCTGAGACAAAGTCTGAGTGTGACCTATTGTGATCCCTTTTTTGTCCTGCATTGTAAACTTTTAATATTTTTTACTTTTTCTGGAAAACTCCTGAACTGATTCAATAAAATTCTATTAAACCTTCCATGGGGAAAGCACACCAAACTTGTAAATTATATGGTCCCCTAGGGGCCTAAGGGGCGGGGCAAAAAGGGTAAATTTGACTGAGATTTCAAAAATCCTCTTTTCAATACTGAGATAATGTAGAACGGTGCCTTACCAATACTGTAAGTTTTATGACCCAAGGGCCTTTAGGAAAGCATTAAAATTTACTATAGTTTATATAGGAAAATTACATTTTTGAGCGTATTTTGTTTATTTTCTTTCAAAAATAGTTAAAATTTGGTTGGAATTGTTACTATAAGCTGACAGTTTGATGAGGTGCACATATTGACCTCAGCTGATCTCCAGGGGCTGATGGGCGGGTCCAAAAATGTGTCAAATTGATTGAAATCTCAAAGATGTTCTAATGTCATGGATGGAAGATTTTATTTACATAGAAAATTTATATTTTTGAGTTTAATTTCTTTTAATTCAAAATTGGACAGACGCCTTAACATAGTTACTTTTTAACAAAATCATTTCTATGACATATTACAAGAAGCATTGTAAGTGAGGTGACCCTTTTCGCCATTGGGCTTCTTGTTTACAGAAAATTAGCCCATAGCTGAAGGTAACAGATCTATTTATCTGACTCCCATCTCTAATATTCCTTTCATTTCAAATAATTGCCATTGAGCTCATCTTCATTTTAATTAAGCCTAAGTACTAAGAAAAAGTTTTATTTCTACAGCAAGAAGAAGTCGTGCACATTTATTGGATGAGAACCCAGCTGAGAACCCAAGCAGTAAGTATTTATCACAGTCTTAGTGAATTTTTACTCCAAAATAAAGATATTGTTGTTAATAACTTTTATCACCTGATATTTACATCCTATTTATCTTTTAGAATTCCCTAAATTTTCATCAATTATACTTTTACCTGAATTTTTTTGAGTGAATGATTCCTGAACCTTGTTTCAATAAATGACATCAGTCCCCCAAGTGTATAGAACTGCTTGTCATGTGGGCAGTGTGTATTAAAAATCCTTCTGTGTTACAGCGGAACCTGTTGACTGGACATTTGCCCAGTTAGAGCTGCTGGAAAAACAAGGCATAGATCTGAGAACAGAAATGGAACAAAGGTATCAATTACAGAAAAGACAGAGAATGAAATATCTGACACAAATAGAAAATAAGTAAATTGTACAATTTTGTATTTATTTTTTCTTTAACTTTTTAGTTACAAGACAAGAATGATTATAGTCTATTAGTCTTGTCTAAGTTCAAATTGAAGGGCTCTATTGTGAAGGTCAAGCTAAGGTTACAGTTACTGTTTACAGAATTCCTTGTCAGCACTGTAGTAGCATCATTTTCTGATATATTTCAGCAAAACTCCATAAACTTGTCCATTTTCTGCACTTTATTACACATTTATCTTTAAATCCTTCTTAAAGATTTGGAAAATTTTTACTTTGAAGATGTTGCCTCTTTGAAAAATAGTTGATGATGTAATACAACACTAACAAACCCAATGAAAATTTCTGGAACACAAAATGACATTGTTGACTGATTACACATACAACACTACAATGTTCTCTTGGTGTACACTTCTTGGTGTACACTACCATGCACTACAATGTTCTCTTGGTGTACACTTCTTGGTGTACACTACCATGTTCTCTTGGTGTACACTACCATGCACTACAATGTTCTCTTGGTGTACACTTCTTGGTGTACACTACCATGTTCTCTTGGTGTACACTACCATGTTCTCTTGGTGTACACTACCATGTTCTCTTGGTGTACACCACAATGTTCTCTTGGTGTACACTACCATGTTCTCTTGGTGTACACTACCATGTTCTCTTGGTGTACACTACAATGTTCTCTTGGTGTACACTTCTTGGTGTACACTACCATGTTCTCTTGGTGTACACTACCATGTTCTCTTGGTGTACACTACCATGTTCTCTTGGTGTACACTACCATGTTCTCTTGGTGTACACCACAATGTTCTCTTGGTGTACACTACCATGTTCTCTTGGTGTACACTACCATGTTCTCTTGGTGTACACTACAATGTTCTCTTGGTGTACACTTCTTGGTGTACACTACCATGTTCTCTTGGTGTACACTACCATGTTCTCTTGGTGTACACTACCATGTTCTCTTGGTGTACACTACCATGTTCTCTTGGTGTACACTACCATGTTCTCTTGGTGTACACTACCATGTTCTCTTGGTGTACACTTCTTGGTGTACACTACCATGTTCTCTTGGTGTACACTACCATGTTCTCTTGGTGTACACTACAATGTTCTCTTGGTGTACACTACCATGTTCTCTTGGTGTATGTTAGGTTGTGTGTACTGGAGGAGCAGTATAAGAAAGAGAAGGAAGAGGCAGATCAGTTGTTTGAACAACAGAGGAAGGATTACGAGATTAGAATCCAGTCTCTCCAGGAACAAGTGGAACGCCACTCTATGATCTCCAGCTACGCTAATGTGGAAGATTTGCTCTCTGAGGAAGTGGATATACAAGGTAGAAAGTCTATGAAAGAGAATTTAGCTCAGTGTTTCCATGCAAGTATAGAAAGTTGAAGTGCTAGAGTTTTCTGACACTCCATCAAATCATTAAAAAAACAAGAAAACATTTTATCCAGCATTGATATTAAGAAGCTATCATGTTTACCGCAAAATCAGGTTTGCTGCAGTGTACAATGAATTAAGCTGCCTTTTTAAACTCACTAGCCTGCAGAGCAAAAGAGCTTAGGGCATGGCACATTGCCTGCCATCTGCCTTCTTTCTAGCTTGATTTTTTCCATTTAAATAACTTTTTATATTTAGAATAAAGAGGATCATGCTCATTATATTCAATGCCTGGATGAAAGGCTACAGACTTTGTTCTAATGAGCGCCTTTGACTTTGTTTTAAAACCTGTAAATTCTTCTTAATAATCCAGAGGCCATATAACATGATATGGAGCCTGTATAATGCTGGGTTGAAAAGCTTTCAAGTTTTATCAAATGTTAAATTCTTCAAACATCCCCTTTTAAGTAACCAAGTGTCCCTGAGTGTCATTAATTAGCCTACAGTATGATTATATAATTATACTCCAAAAGAAGGTGACATGTTTTGGATGAATGTAAAAGTTACCACAAAAATAATATCAAAGAATATCTCTTTATCATAAGTTTCAGAACAGGTGAGTGATACAGGTGCACTTGTTGTTTAGATTTGTTGATGATGTAGAATTGTTTCTTTTCCATTCTTACAATTGTCTTTAATTTCTTACTTTCTAGAATGTACTTGGACAGACAGGGAAAGAGAATTGGCTGCCTGGGCATTCAGAAAATGGAAATACCATCAGTTTACATCTCTTCGGGTACACCATTTTTAATACTAAAAGAGTAACGAGTCTGGCCTTATGTGGTCTGTATCTTGAGATTTATCTAGTAGAAATAAGCTCACTATTCAGAACTTTTAATCAAGTTTACTAAATAGCGAAATTTTAATCCACAAATTTGTGGCATTTTTAATAGCGAGATAGAAAGACTTTATATTTCATTATCTATTGAGAGACCAGATTTATATCCAGTAGTATTATTTCCGGAACACAACTGAAAATGTTCACTTCATCGAATCACAGTCATATATGAAAATAATGGTCACATAATTCTCATCATCATGAATTAAATAAATAAAGTATTAACAGAAATCATATTAAAGTTTTAAGAGGAACAGAAATAATATTTGTGAATTTGATCGGATATCTTACTCATCCATTGATGGAACTTTACCAGTAACATGTCATAATGCGAGATTTCTATTCAAACAGGATGACTTGTGGGGCAATGCTATATTCCTTAAAGAGGCCAATGCTATCAGTGTCGAGCTCAATAAGAAGGTAAAATCTCTGACTCTAATTTCTCAAAAGAAAATTTGTAAATTATATGTTAAAACAAACATTTCTTGTTCTGTGGATGCTAAAATTTTCATGAAATGTCCTATAACTTCAATGAATGCAATTTCAATTGAAGCTGTCATGTTAAGACAGGACAAAGGTTTTGCCAGTTTGCATTGTCTACTAATATATGCATAAAGCACCTAATTGTGCATGGTCTGCGGGTGAAGTAGGAAGGCAAGCATATTTTACAATGATATATTCCCCCTACAGGTCCAGTTCCAGTTTGTTTTGCTGACCGACACTTTGTACTCTCCTTTGCCCCCTGACATCCTTTCATCAGATGACCGTGATCTTGAACGCCCGTTTCCAAGGACAATCGTTGCGGTAGAAGTTCAGGACACAAAGAATGGAGCAACCCACTACTGGAGTCTAGACAAACTTAGGTATAGATGCACACATTTCGTTATCATATCTGTTTATGTCAAAATTCACTCACAGTTAATCCGGTGTGTGGGGTCTCTGTTGGTTTAAATGTACAAGTAATTCTTCAAAAAGTTTTCCAAGTTTTTGGAATTTACAAAAAAAAAGGAATTTCTAAATTTTAAGAAGGGGAGAAATTAAAGTTAAATTTTTTTGCCATTTGAGAATAATAATTATGACAGAGGAATACCTTTGAGATTGATATTGGTTGTTAAAGACAAGACAAAAATCTACCATAGTAAAGTTGTCTGTGTTCATAGCTGTCACTAACTGCCAGTAATTGAGATGATATTCCAGTTCAGTCGCAGTAGAAGGATGAAATAGTTATGAAAATTCAAATTCTCTTGGACTCATCAATGAATTGATATGTTCACTTCAAAATTTTTAAACAGTGTAGGCATAAGTCAAAGGTCAAGGTTGCTATAACTATTTATAGAAAATTGCATTTATCTCGTGATATACATTCTTTTATTTTGTAAAACAGACAACATATTTGTGTAATTATTATATAAGTGAAGGAGTTTATATTTTATGTTTCATTTGGAGACAAACAATGGTTACCATTCCAAAACCATTTCATTCAGAGATCTGACAAAATTTGTTTTTCAAAGATGTAAATTTTCACTTGTTTAAGAGTATGAGTACACTGAAACGAAAAATTATGCAAGGTTGAAATGGCTATGTTTCTAAGTGTAAGTTCAAATTTCTAAATTGATGTTTTCATGGCTGTCATGGGATTTAAGAATATTGTATTTACCTGGGCTCTGACATTCTAGAAAATTCTTCATTCTTATTACTTAATGACATATTTCCAAATCAATAAGTATTATCTTTTCTCATTAAAAATTCTACTGCTAATTCTGAATAGTTGTATTGTGAACCAATGGTCAAATTCCTTTGTTAAAAATAAAGTGATTTCTTTATCAAATGTAATTACGAATTTGAATGTAGTTGCCAAAATATTTTGTTCAAATTTTCATTTAACAAATATTTTATCATTGATGACAATACTCAGATGTGTCTCCAAACATTGATAATCATGAACCACAGAACTTTGTTCCAACATTAACACATTAATCCATGATTAACTAACACATTAATCGTTATTTACTAACACTGTATTCCATCATCATGTATTTAAAGAAATAAATATAATAACTAGGATAGGATTGTATGTGATAATATTGTAAAGAAATTATTCTTCTGTACATTTTTTCCTGGAAGATAATCAGGTCAAGTTGTACCATGCTTAGGGATAGATGTAGGTAGAGAAGTTTATGTAGGTAATAAAATGCCCTTTAAGATACTGGACATCAATAGAATGCATGTGTACCGTTTAACATGGAGTAAGAATAAATATGTTTAAAAAAATGTTATTGCTGTAGAATCTCAGAAAAATAAATAATAATAATAATAAAAATATAAAAAGGTGAAGAAATAAATTTAAAAAACACAACAAACAACCGAACAAAAAATACAGAGTGTCCTTATATCCAATACTTGAAATTTTTGTCTAAACATGTAACTGATTAATCATGATTCTCAAATTGTACATAATCCTTTCAAAAGAAACATTATATACATATTGATTCATATTAAATGATTCCAAAAATTTGATTAAAGGATTCAAGTAAAAACAAAACCATTATAGTCAAACAGAAAGAATGCTTACAGAATGTAAAAAATTCAATTGTGATGTTATGTGTGTGTCCCAAAATATTGAAAAACAGATATGGATACTTTTAGAAAGGATAGCCAAGATTATTGTAATATGGGGCAGACAACTCTTGATAATTATTGTCTCTACGAAATCTATAACAATGTTATTGTCACTATTCTTCATATTGCCTTTCAGTTAGCATGAAAACTTCAGATAAATTAAAAGAAAAAAAAAGGGAAAAATTTTTTTTTTTTCATGCAAGGAAAATGTAACTTTATTTTCTCCTTAAAACATGAATTGAAGTTTTGCAGTCTGTACTTGATAAGATTGAAAAGATTTATTTCAGTTGTAGTTACAGTTGCTTTTGAGTTGTACAATATACAATTTTGATGTGGTTGGCACCATGCAAGTTCTCACTAATCGGCAAAGTTGGAATCCTGTGACGAAATCCGACATTTATCAATGCACCTGGCATCCATTTCACTTTCATTTGTTGAAGAATTATGATTAAAAGAGGTTTTACAGCCTCACCTTCATACTCCAACTTTCTTTTTAGGTGTTTTAAAGACTCACATGAAATTTTATTAAATTTTAGAAAAGAAAAATACTCCTTTGTTTTATTCTAGAATTGCGGAATATGATTTGTCAATATTTTCTTTGTTCTAGACCATCCAACAACATCACATGAATATTTTGCTTAAATCTTCCTTTTTCATGTTCATCTTTTCATTTTAACCATCAGATGTTCATTTGTAGTGATAGATTGTAGCTTGCATGATATTACTGCCAATCTTCATATCCATATATGAGTCTTTGCCCGCTGTCAAGCTAATTACAAGAAATTAAAACACAACCTTCCCCAGTTTGAGTCTATATTTACTGTATTTTTTCAGTTATTTACATTATTAGATAGTAAAAATTATCATGAGATTGGCTGATTGTTTTACTGAAATAAAAGTGATCAATTGAGGCAGAATGTGAAGTTTTTGAGAGATTTTTTTTTTAATAAGTGAAATTAAAAAACAATCTTTTGTTTTGCTTCATTAGTTTGCACTTTTTTTGAGTTTTGATTTTGATAAATGTAGTTATATGGGATCTTAAAACAGCTATTTTTCAAAAGTTTATAAAGACTTATTTTGAAAAGAATGTGGCAGTTTATTATTTCTTAGCCAATCAGAAAACACCAAATAAAGAGTAATAACAAGAAACTAACCAGTTTTTCAGTTTGTTGATTTAGAATATTGTTAAGTAAACTGTCAGAGAGAAATAAAAGTTTTGTTGAATATTCTGTATTTAAGTCTTACCGTCATCTTTTTACACATCCAAAAAACCAACCTTCATATATCAACCAAGATGTGTCCTCAAGCTTGTGAAATGAGTTATGTCCCTTCCTGCACCCACTGACCTTAGCATGAGTTCCAACTTTGTCGATTAGATGTTAATGTCCTTGTCAGCTGCCTCTAAAATGCAATCTGTAATCTTGGATGTATATTTAGTAGTTTTTGCTATTCATTAGTATAAAATCACAATCAAAATTTGATTATCTTTAAAATGTGGATTATATTAGATAGGCAATGTGTATTATATTAAATAGGAAATGCAAATTCAGGAATTCTTCATCTCTGGTTCATGGATTTTGAATCTTTTCTTATAATTTTTGCAATAAATTATATTTGTGATTTTGCTGTTTGTACTGAGGACATTTTTTCTGTATTTCTTTAATTTCTATCTTTTTTTTCTGTACAAGCTCTTAAAATTCATTTCTTAATCAAAATTAAAACTCTACAATGCATTTTTCATGAATTCAATAATACACTTTTTTCACAGTACCCAAAGTCAGATACTTAGTAATTGTATTTGGAAATTAAAAGGAAATTAGAAAAAAGTCAGAAATTTTTTTAAAATTGTTTGAAGAAAAAAAAATTCTGTGACATTTGTCTTCTTGGGAAGAATAAAAAAAAGTATGTGGTTTTGATGGAATTTTGAATGGCTGTGACGATGCTTGGACATATTGACATTGTAGACATCGCTTGGAGCTCATGCGCGACATTTATAATGAGGACTTATCACCTGACACCCCTGAGGCCAAACAGGATTTCCTCCAATGCCTGGTCGGCTGTGGTCCGCACCAAAACTACTTTAACTTCATTAACCTTATCCCATCCAGGTGTGTCTGTATGACCTTCACCTCTCACCTTTAACCTCCATTCTGCTTGACTTTTATTTGACTTTTGTTTGACCTCTGTATGACCTTCATTTGATGTTGTGCTCTAAGTCTTGACATGATTTATTTATTTGTTTATGCAGCATTTGTTTTCTTGTTGTTTTTTTTATATTTTTTTCCACAACATTTTGGGTTCTGTTTTTGTTTTTCTGTTCAATTTGAGATTTTGATATCTTATTCTGTCAGATTTTACTGGTTTTTGTGCTTATTTCTCTTTTTTTTTTAATTTTCTGTAAAATTTCTTTTAGCTTTCTTTTTGTCAACTGATGTTCATATGATTCATACCTATTTCATCGTGATTGTGTTTTTTTAAACAGTTAAAATAAAAATTGAACTCATCCATTTCTTTGCGATTTGCAGTCGGTTTTATAAAGAGCTAACATTAGCTCTTTAAATGAATATTGCTCTACCATAATTTTCATGCTGCTTTGAACTCATCATTAACACAGTGATTAAAGACTGTTTTATCAATGCCTTGTTTTATATTCTTTAAATATTTCTAGCCTAAAATCATGAAATTTCAGTAATTATTTGACTGGAATTAGCTAAGTGGAAAGAGGAAAATTACCCAAAATAATTATGTTATTTGCTAATTCATAATTGCACGTTTGATATTTTTTTGTACGTTGAAAAGAGGTATTTTTTAACACTAGATTGATTCCATTTCCTTGTGTATCTATTGTATAATGTCTTCTAATCTTAATGTCACTCTGAATAATATTTAGAGCATGGCTTTTGTATTTTTTAATCCTTTTTAAATGTTTTCAATTTTTTTTTTTTTTTATCTCTATATAATATGGTAGTTGATGTTTGAGAAAATTATGCTTTATTGCTTAGGAAGTAGTTTTTTGAGTTTTAAAATTGGCAGCTTAAGGTACGTCAGATATGGAGTGTATCTGAGATTTGATGAAAAGGAACAAATGTCAAAACAAACAGTTAGTTGTTAAATAAATTCTAACAACTTTATAACCTAGATTGGGTGATTCTTCAGATTTTCCCGGGAAGTGCAATAAACCCTTGACATATAGAATGTAGAGCAATATGTAAATTTTGCTCACTATGGTTCACAGGAATACCTTAATTATATACAATATAGATCTAATGTACTGCAGGATGTGGTACAGCTTCAAAGTTTTCATTGTTACAATGGCTAAAAGTTCAAAATTGTGTTGTCAGTTCGAATCTTTTATCATTCAAATATAACCTGACTTTTTTTCTAAGCAATCCAATATTATACATGGTACTGTTACAATGTATGTTCAGATGGTAGGTATGGATGGAGACTTGTTAAGTCCTATATCTGAGGTGGATTCATTTGTCTTACCAGAATGTTGGATGTGTTTAGTGTGATGTACAGTGGCCTGTTGAAAGCTAAAAAACCTATGCTGGTTACATTGTTAAATGATTTCTCTCAATTGATTTTTCATTGAAGTTATGATCTGATAATGTCTTGCTTGTGATTTCATTGTAAATAAAACTTATTTTCTCTCCAATGACAGACAGAGGCTAGAGTTGATGCGGGAAATGTACCACAATGAAGCAGAGTTGTCTCCCACATCCCCTGAGCCAAACCTGGACAGTATGACCGGAGGTGATCCCTTCTACGACAGGTTCCCCTGGTTTAGACTTGTTGGCAGGTAAGTATTACTTCTGTTGTTTTAAGTTAGATTGATCTAGTTGATTCCTGGCAGTAAAAATCACTTTAAAGTCTAACTCCTTGTCTTTATTGTATGAAATAAAAGCTTTATGATTCAGGGTTTTAGCATTCCTGAGTAACCAAAGTGTAACAGTAATCTTACCATTTTTTCAAATTAAGGGCCTTTGTTTAGCTGTGTGTAACCCATGTGTAACACAGTTATCTCCCCTTTTGTACAAATTATCTTTTGTATTTAATTTCAGAGTGTTTTTGCACCTGATAACACTGATGGATTAGTTGTCTCCTCTTTTGTACAAATCATAATTTACATTTCAGGGCCTTTGTCTATCTGAGTAACTTGTACTACCCAGTGCCCCTTGTCCACAAAGTAACCATTGTTAGTGAAAAGGGAGAGGTCAAGGGGTCACTGAGAGTAGCAGTCCAGGCTATTACTGGTAAGTTTGTTGGCTTCTGTTACCATTAGAAATGTGTCTTGAACTGATTATGTTTCTCTGCTAAGAGGTGGACCTCATCAAAGGTTTTCTTATTTGTAATTAGATGTAAGGAATTAATGTATTTATTCCAATAAAGACATTATCCCTTTCCAAAGATTGATAGCTGCTAATTATAACTGTATTTAAAGAAAGAAATTTCATCAAATGATTTTTTATAATTTTTAATTTCTTGAAATATTTTCTTGATGGACACGTTTGTTTTTATTTATAGATAAAGAGGAAACCCCAGACTACACCCCAGGGATCAAGCAGTCAGGAAATGCCAAAATCACATTTAATGACAAAGACTACTACCAAACAGTGAGTACAGACAGCAGCAGAGAACAGCGGAATTCTTACATAGTCTCAAGGCACATTATTCCAGAACTTTTGTGATGTTGGTCTTATGGAAAATTTATCATTAATGGAAAATTTTCAATTACACTATAGCAGAAATGTCATGTATTAAATGACAGTTTTTATTCTTATATAACACTGCACAAATTAAAGAACTTGGCAACAAAATTATCAATCTTTAGAATATATCAGATATAAAAATGTTTGAATTAGTGAAAAGAGAGTTGAATGGTTATGTTTTGCAGATATGTATTAACACTCAAATTGATGGCGTCTCTGACGTCTTTCACTGCTGTGTTTACTGTTTATTATCTTGTTTATTTACCAAATATCTCCTACCTTTACAGAAACAGCAACACTTGCCAGACAAAGTAGTTCAGATGCGAGCTAGAATGTCCCCCCAGGGCGCGCCCTCGACGGAGGAACTTAGATATGTAGAGGGTGAGGGAACCACTCCTGACAACTGTAATACCATAGATGGTAAAATAATGATACCCCTCGTTATCAAAATTACAAACAATTCACATAAGTATACCCTAGAAATCCTTCAAATAATTGGCTATAGGAGCTGTGGATCTGGAGACCATTATATGGTATTCCTGACCCACTTACAATGGGGTATTAAAAGTACTGGAGTAAGTTATTTCTGTATTGATATTTATGTTCTTCAGCTGTTATTGAAGTTTAAATATTAATTGTCTGTTGCCTCATCTCGTTTGAACTGAGATTGTGACACTAAAGCATATATGTAAGGGTGCTATAATATAAGTTAATGAAAAACACAAAAAAGTTATTGATAGAAATGTAGAAATTACATAATGTTAGCATGCATGTTTCTGGTCAATTGTGTTCAGCTTAATTTGATCTCATAGAGTTTAATATGTGAGATGAAGTGATCATCAGTTTTTCGCTGCTTTCGTATTTTGGTCATGTTTTATCAAATTAACCATCGTATCTCTCCCATTCTAATTGATGTCAGCAGTCTTAGGACTTCAATTTTTTTAGGGATGATTCTGATTACATCAGAAGAGGGGCACCAATGTCTGACAGAACTGATTTGACAGTATTATGGGAGCTTGTTAAAATGTTTTTTGTAGAGGCACATCATTGTTATGAAGACACGACAAATCAGGAAAACAAATTCCCAGATGTCGATGATCGTGACCTTCCCAAACATCTCAAGGTCGGAAGCCAGTTTATGTTCCGGGTGACCATACTGGAAGCCTCAGGGATCAGTCCCGAATATGCTGATATCTTCTGCCAATTCAAGTAAGTATTGATAAAGAAATAAAACACAAGAGAATGAGTCGGTCTGAATGTAGAGGTTAAATTGATGATGATTGAGAGATTTACGTAGATCACTCTAGGACAGTGTTAAGTAAAAACAGATAGTGGAATTATATATGAAGTATATACTTTTTTGAGATGTTTGTTTTGTGTTCTAGTTTCCTGTACCGCCATGACGAAGCTTTCTCCACTGAACCACTGAAAAACTCTGGAAAGAGCCACCCACTTGGTTTCTATCATGTACAAAATGTAGGTTTTGTGTTCCTTTGGTAAAATATCTAAAGTGTATTTTATGTTGAGATGCTGTGAGTTAGTTGTTTGATTAATATATATATATATGACACTATAAGTTTCAAAGTTCAATGGATATGTGACTTTCTTTCATAATGTAAACTCAAGTCTTATCTTGCTTCATCAATTTTAAATCATTCTAATTGTGAAGGTGACCTTGATCATTTTCTGTTTCCTATACTTAGTTCAGTTTGAATGTGACCTTGATCATTTTCTGATTTCCATGAGGAACATTTTGATTCCTGTTGGTTCTCCAATCCTATGACTATGTTAATCAGCTTTCCGTTCCCTTTTAAGTAGTAAACTGTTCACAGGTGACTGTGTCTCTCTGTACATTACAAATAAGTCAAATAATTTCTGTAATCCTTAAATTACTTTATTGATTAGTCCAACTTTCAGTTTCTGAGCAGTAAGAATTTGACCTACTTTCTGTTTACTTTTAGTTTACTTAATAGTGACCTAGCTACTTTCTGCTTGCCCCTATTTTACATAATGACCTAGCTACTTTCTGTTTGCCTCTATTTTACATAATGACCTTGCTACTTTCTGTTTGCCTTTAGTTCACTGTGAATGTGACAAAGTCCTTCATTGACCACATCAAGTCCCAGCCACTGGTGTTTGAGGTGTTTGGCCACTACCAACAACATCCACTACATGACCAAGCCAGGGATACGGTTCCCTAGTAAGTACACAAGTCTATATTTGTTAATGATTTTGACGATAATGTCTAAGTCATTTTATATTGATCACACATTGCATTATCTCTGAAGTTAGGATTTGTAGCGATAACAGTTTGATTTATCTATTAGTTATTTTTTCCTGAAATCATTGGGCTTGTTTTAGATATATAGGTGTAGCATATGGGTTATACAGAAATACACACTTACATGTATATATATTTATCAACCACATAACAATGAAGGTTACATTAGAGAAATTTTAAAAAATACAAAAAATGCTGAAATATAAACATGAACCCAAAATTACACCTTTGAATAAGAAACCTATTTCTGAATGCTAAAAATGGACTACCATGCCATGGTAACAATTTACACAGGCTTAGTAAATCCAAACTTGAAATGGGGTTACAACATGAACACATGTTGACGCTAAGGAAATCCCACTTCTTGTAAAGCTATTTATTGTGATTGGACACAGATTCAAGACTGTCCAATTAATAGTCTCCGATCTGGTACAAAAAGTATTATTCTGAAAAATATGAAGCCTGACATTGTGCACTTCGACATTGCTACCCTCCATGGCCATACCAAGAAACTGTGTACTGCTACCGATATACTCCTGTAGTATAACAAACTCTGACAACAAATTTTATATGCTGTATTTCATACAATAAAGAAATATAGGAAAAATTGAAACAAATATGGCAATAACTTTGATTGGAAATGACAATGAAATATTGATATGAGTATTTTTTTCAAGGAAAATTCTCACTAGTCTTGATAATTGTCTTGGAAATGGGTTGTATATTTTCTTTCCATTAAGTGAGTTATTGAACATTTAATTGGCACAAATTTTACATTTTTAAAAAAAAATTTTACTGAAAGTTTCCACAGTTTCAGTGACATATATGAAGTAACTTCCTATTTCAGCAGTGCCAGGCCTCCCCCTCGTCGTAGTTTCCCGCCATTGATTCCCGTTTCCAAACCAGTTCCCTCCCCCAAGTTTGGCATTATCACCCCTCCAAGGTTAGTATTGAGTAATGTGTGTTTGATGTCCTGAGTAACTGTTTAGCATCCTCAGCTGATGTCATTGTCCTGCCTGTGTTGATTTTGTTGTTATGTATTTCTGTAGTAAATATCAGTTACTCTATTTTACTTTGTATCCTGTTTTCAGACAACATTAGAACAGTTACAAGCATTTCTTAAAGTTTTCAGTGCCTGTAAAAAACAATGTTGTGAAATTCAAACTTTCATTATAGTCTAAGTCTAAAATATAATAAATAAAGTAAGTAATTAAGGTTTTAGGTAGTAGAGTTAATGCCCTTGATTATGACTTGGTTGGATATGAGGTTCCTTTAATATTCAGTTCAGTTTTATATAACTACAACAGATAACTTGTAAGCTAGTTACTATATAACATTAAACATTATATATATAACCCTTTGCTCTATATATTTACAAAAACAGAACAAAAAAAAACAGGGATAATTAATCAGCCAGAGATTTTGAAATCTCTATGTAATCAGCAAATCTAAAACATAGTTTACCAAATGACAATATATTGTGTGCAGGCAAAGTTGAAAGAAGAATGGAGTCTGTACATACAGTGTCGTAATTTAACAGGTGCTGCCTCAGCTTGGTCAATTAATGTAGCTATGTTACATTATCATCCTTACTTTATATTGACAGAAATTTTGATAATTGATGTATTTGATAGTCCGTCATTGTCCGAGATTGCTCTCTAAATTAGCATTGTGTGGATAAGGTTTGATGATATACAGAATCATAAAAACGTTAAACTTAGTAATCTCCTATGTTTGATGAGATCAAATAAATGTGTTATTGTTGAACATATTTAAATGTGAAGTTTATATCCATATAATTTTATTATCATCAAAGTCATATGAGGGAATGGTTTAACACTATATCAAACAGTGACAACACGTAAGTTAGAAATTGTCTTTACTTCATCAGCTTTTTATAATTTTCTGTTTATCTGTTCCATTATGTTTACTGTTTTGCTGTTGTGAAACTTTAGAGATTCAAAACTGTTTGGTCAAATAAGTTTAGACTGTTGATTAATACACAGTCACATGCTTGCCAGTCCTGCATGTTTAGCACATTGAAGTCCTAGTGTTATACGACAATCAGGAAGTCATAGCTTAAATCAAGTACAGATAAACCCAGGGGTCAACATTACCTTTAACAAGTGGGGAGGTATAATTTATCATTCAGCATTTATTGATATTTCTAGTAAAAATGCTATAGATGTTGATGGGCTAATTATCAAACATAGGCTTTTTACAACAAACATGATCTTATTACCAAACATGGGCTTTTTACAAAAACATGAGCTTATTACCAAACATTGACTTATTATCAGACATAGGCTTATTACAACAAGCATGAGCTTATTGCCAGACATGGACTTATTATCAGACATGGACTTATTACCAGACAAGTACTTATTACCAGACAAGTACTTATTATCAGAACTGGGCTTATTACCAGACATGGACTTATTACCAGACATGGACTTATTACCAGACATGTACTTATTACCAGGCATGGACTTATTACCAGACATTGACTTATTACCAGACAAGTACTTATTACCAGACATGGACTTATTACCAGACATGGACTTATTACCAGACATGTACTTATTACCAGACATGGACTTATTATCAGAACTGGTCTTATTGCCAGACATGGACTTATTACCAGACATGTACTTATTACCAGACATGTACTTATTACCAGACATGTACTTATTACCAGACATGGACTTATTACCAGATATGGACTTATTACCAAACATGTACTTATTACCAGACATGGACTTATTACCAGGCATGGACTTATTATCAGAACTGGGCTTATTACCAGACATGGACTTATTACCAGGCATGGACTTATTATCAGAACTGGGCTTATTACCAGACATGGACTTATTACCAGGCATGGACTTATTATCAGAACTGGGCTTATTACCAGACACTGGCTTATTATCAGACATGGGCTTATTATCAGACCTGGGCTTATAATCAGACCTTGGCTTATTATCAGACATGGGCTTATTATCAGACATGGGTTTATTATTAATTGATATTTCAGCTGATCCCTGACATTATGAATATACAAACAGTTTTGAATCTCAGTGTATATATATATATATATATTATTTTGAATTGGTCTTTATTTGTTGCAGTCGTTGATATTTACTTATTTCTTTTATTTTATATTTGTTTGATGCTTTTCTGTCCTCACAGATCTGATAGGAAGTCTGGCACAAAGCAGGATTTATTGATTGATGTTACTAAGTTTACAAGTGTTGGGTAAGACCACACCCACTGTTGACTTCACTAAAGTCATTTGCTTCATTTGCATCAGTGTTAATTCATTTATATACCATCATTAGCTTTAGACTAATTAATAACAACTTATTAACATTGACTAATTAATACTAACATTCATATAATCAAGTTTTTATTTTATACATAACTCACAGATTTCTTGAGAGGCTTTTTTCAACAGCTAAAATCTATACAATTTTATTTCATTTAGGTAATTATCATTTAATGGGTGAAGATAGACACATCCCTCCACTGGGGGTTTACATGTTCTGTGCACGAGGGGGATGGGGGCGAGGAAGAAGGGTGTAGGCATGGCAAATATACTCTGAATAACATAGAAAGAAATTTTTTAAATTATCCAGGAAAATCTTTTTTTTGGACAAGTCATCTTTTCTTATTTTTGTTTCAGTGTCTTTACATATTTACCACATATTTTTTTTCTTCAGAATCTGTTTTTAATATTATATTTTTTTACCTATTTTTTCCTACTCTATGTTTTATGAATATATTATATAACTACCGTCGATTTAGGTTTATTGATTTGAAATCATGTTGTAGCATTATGCTGATATTTTGAAAAAAATTCCATATGTTGGTTTTTGAATTTAACTTTATCAATATGTATTTGTATGTTTTATTATGAACATTTTAGAGTTTTAGTACATTTATTTCCTTATCTAATAGTATTTATGAATAATTTCGTCTTTTATGTTAACGGTTTAAATCTACTATCTAAATGACAAATTGTCAATATAATATTACAGATTTTTTTCTATTTATTTATTTTTATTTTAGCTGTAAGATATAATCCAGTATGATGTGTTAATGGCTGCCTGCAGTATATTTTTGACATATCTCTAAAAGAAGTTACAAGTCAGTACCAAAGTTCCCATCAAAGTGTTTACAGTCGTTTCCTTGCGTTATGAATACTAGGTATTGATTGGTACAGTTTCATTTTTTATTTTTTATTTAAATTGAAAATATTGGATAGGGAATAGCTGTCTTTTTTTTCAAGTATGATAAGTATTTTACGTACAATCATATATCTTGTACATTCATTTTTATTAGATTAGATCTAACGTGATTGTACCATTAATCAACATAGATCAGAGGGCTTTAGAAATTTTCTGTTGCCTTGTGTAAAATCCATTTTTTTTTTAAATATTTCTAATTTATGTTAAAAAAAATCCTCGCATACACTAGGTGGAGAGATGAGCTTTCAATGATTAGTGCAGCAATTTATTGTAGTGCAATGAAGATATATTTGTTCTTGAAACCAGATGATATGTCACATTATAGATTTTATTTGAAGTTGCATTTTAAGAGAAAATGAAAACCTGTACAGTACATAAGATACGATGTGGGAGTTTTGACCAAGAGTGCTTGCCCCTTGTGTTACATAGTTGGTTGTTTTACGCTTGTCTTAGCAGCATTTCACAGCTTGTTATGGCAGTCACTGCTTGCCAGTGTTGATGTATGACAGTGTTGATGTATGACCAGCGATCATTAACCATTGCTTTCATTATTATTTTCTTTACCTTAGGTTTTATGACTCAGGTCGAAGTCCAGACATCGAAGTAGCTCCCCTGACACCTTACATACTGTAGGTACCAGTAATTCACCCTCTCTTCTCTCTCCAGTATTACTCTTGTATTCATATAGCAATAATACTCCTGTCTTGCAACCACAACAGTAATACTGTTTTGTAGCCATAGAAATATCATATTGTATACAGTTATTGACTGGGGTTGAGGGCAACAGATGATCTGTTGGACTCGAAGGCAAACTGTTCGGCCGAGGACAACAGTTTGCTGAGGGTCCAACATATCATCTGTTGCCCGAAACCCCAGTCAATAACTGTTTTGTTATATCCTTCACAAAGATGACATTGCCAGACTGAATCTGCCTGAGTCATTAGGCCTACTGGTTGCCATTTTGTTGTGCAGACGATAAGAGAAGATAACTCTAATGAAAACAAAACATTGTTATCATTCGGGCGTACTTTATGTTTCCGTAAAGTGGTCAACAGTTGATTTTAACAGTCCATTAGGACCGGTGAACAAAACAGTTAAACTTTTGACATTTCTTTCTCTATATAAATATATAGGAACTGAACCTACATGGTATAACAATACAAACCGTGTAAGGCACACTCTAGTTGTAGGATTGCCTGACCTTGCTCAAGATTCTGTAGCAGTAGTACCGCAAGTCTTTTTACCCTAGCAGCAAATTTAAATACTGTTTTATATCCATAGCTTTATCATATTGTGTCTTGTAACCATAGCAGTATCATACTGTCCTTGTCACCATAGCAGTATCATACTGCCTTGTCACCATAGCAGTATCATACTGTCTTGTCACCATAGCAGTATCATACTGTCCTTGTCACCATAGCAGTATCATACTGTCTTGTCACCATAGCAGTATCATACTGTCTTGTCACCATAGCAGTATCATACTGTCTTGTAACCATAGCAGTATCATACTGTCTTGTAACCATAGCAGTATCACACTGTCTTGTAACCATAGCAGTATCACACTGTCCTTGTCACCATAGCAGTATCATAATGTCTTGTCACCATAGTAGTTATAATGTCTTGTAATGAATTTTCTACCCTGATGTGACTACACTAATTTGTCTAATAATCTTGTAACCATATCAGTGTGTCTGTCTTGTTAATATAGTTGTTTGATGTGCATTTGTCCTATAACTTTAGAAGTAAATCTTTCTTGTAACTAAGTTATATATCTATCACGTAACTATAGTGATAACCTGTCCTGTATCTATAGTGATACATCTGTCCTGTATCTATAGTGATACATCTGTCACGTATCTATGGTCAATACAATACACCTGATTTGTATCTATAGTGATGAGTCTGTTATTGTGTCTCTTGTGATACATGTTTTTTATCTGGAGTGATACACCTGTCTTGTATCTAGAGTGATACACCTGTCTTGTATCTAGAGTGATACACCCGTCTTGAATCTATGGTGATACACCTGTCTTGTATCTAGAGTGATACACCTGTCTTGTATCTGGAGTGATACACTCGTCTTGTATCTATGGTGATACACCTGTCTTGTATCTATGGTGATACACCTGTCTTGTATCTAGAGTGATACACCTGTCTTGTATCTATGGTGATACACTCGTCTTGTATCTATGGTGATACACCTGTCTTGTATCTATGGTGATACACCTGTCTTGTATCTAGAGTGATACACCTGTCTTGTATCTAGAGTGATACACCTGTCTTGTATCTAGTGATACACCTGACTTGTATCTAGAGTGATACACCTGTCTTGTATCTATGGTGATACACCTGTCTTGTATCTATGGTGATACACCTGTCTTGTATCTATGGTGATACACCTGTCTTGTATATATGGTGATACACCTGTCTTGTATCTAGAGTGATACACCTGTCTTGTATCTATGGTGATACACCTGTCTTGTATCTAGAGTGATACACCTGTCTTGTATCTAGAGTGATACACCTGACTTGTATCTAGAGTGATACACTTGTCTTGTATCTATGGTGATACACCTGTCTTGTATCTAGAGTGATACACCTGTCTTGTATCTATGGTGATACACCTGTCTTGTATCTATGGTGATACACCTGTCTTGTATCTATGGTGATACACCTGACTTGTATCTAGAGTGATACACCTGTCTTGTATCTAGAGTGATACACCTGTCTTGTATCTATGGTGATACACCTGTCTTGTATCTATGGTGATACACCTGTCTTGTATCTATGGTGATACACCTGTCTTGTATATATGGTGATACACCTGTCTTGTATCTAGAGTGATACACCTGTCTTGTATCTAGAGTGATACACCTGACTTGTATCTAGAGTGATACACCTGTCTTGTATCTATGGTGATACACCTGTCTTGTATCTATGGTGATACACCTGTCTTGTATCTATGGTGATACACCTGTCTTGTATCTATGGTGATACACCTGTCTTGTATCTAGAGTGATACACCTGTCTTGTATCTATGGTGATACACCTGTCTTGTATCTATGGTGATACACCTGTCTTGTATCTATGGTGATACACCTGTCTTGTATCTATGGTGATACACCTGTCTTGTATCTATGGTGATACACCTGTCTTGTATCTATGGTGATAGATCTGCGGTCTTTTTCATGTAATATTCAGATTAAGTTTACATGTTCTCTTTCTTTCCGGTTAATGTTTTGTAATTTTGATTAAAATATAATTCTTCATTAGAACTTACTTTATAACTTAAACAATAAATTACCTGAGTAATCCTAAATTGCCACCCTAAAATATCACATTTGTTCTCATGTTTCACCTTTCATTGGCTATTCTTTGTATTATATATCTTTACTTGCTTGCATGTTTGCCTGCCAGTTTTATTTTGCACTTGTTCCTAATACCTAAATCAAGACTTTTATAACATTCATTTGCTTATCATAATATAAATAAACACATGGTTATTTTTTTATTTAACATCAGATTTGATAATCCGGTCATTGTATGTAACACATCTATGCAGCATTAGTCATGTAATTCAGTGTAATAGATGTTTCCAGATGTTTCTTGGACACTGAAGTATTTGTAAGTTATTTGTCATTGACTTTTGTGTAGAAATTTTAATGGTAGCTGGTTGTGTACAGATAGAAGTTTTGGTAACTGACTGTTGTGTACAGAGAGAAGTTTTATTGGTAACTGACTGTTGTGTACAGAGAGAAGTTTTATTGGTAACTGACTGTTGTGTACAGAGAGAAGTTTTGTTGGTAACTGACTGTTGTGTACAGAGAGAAGTTTTGTTGGTAACTGACTGTTGTGTACAGAGAGAAGTTTTGTTGTGTACAGAGAGATGTTTTATTGGTAACTGGCTGTTGTGTACAGAGAGATGTTTTATTGGTAACTGGCTGTTGTGTACAGAGAGATGTTTTGTTGGTAACTGACTGTTGTGTACAGAGAGAAGTTTTGTTGGTAACTGGTTGTTGTGTACAGAGAGATGTTTTATTGGTAGCTGACTGTTGTGTACAGAGAGAAGTTTTATTGGTAACTTGTGTACGAGAGAAGTTTTATTGGTAACTTGTTTGGAGAGAAGTTTGAGATCTGTGAGTTTTATTGGCTGACTGTGGAGAGTAAGTAGCAGAATTTAGTAGTTTTTTAAATATTGAAACTTTAGTTATTTGTAAATTGTTTTTGATACAAGCTTTTACAACCTACTTGTATATTAAACCAAATAAGCTACACCCAGGCGTAAGTACAATGTTTAGGAGATGTTCACAAAACTCAGAAGTGAAATAATACCTTTTGCAAAAGAAATAATTGAATAAACTATAAAAACCGGATAACATTGGTATTACCCTCACTGTTGAAAAAGTTAATGTCATAGAATATATTCAAAAATATAAAGTCACCTGGAATGTGTATATCACAGTTAACATACTTCAGTGGTTGTATTGTCTTAATCTGTTTTCTGTATTTCTTTTTGATTGGAACAGACATTTACCTTACTAGTCAAATTTAGATACATATGTATTAGGTAAAACAAATCTGCTTTTTATGTAATTGCACTGTATTTGTGGTTCCACCTGAAGATATGTGCCGGCTGTAGTGGATCACAGTGACGACCAGCCATGCATGGGAACGTACATGTTACACCAAGGTATCCAGCGAAGAATCGCCATTACCATCATGCAGGACCAAAGTCCAGAGACAGACCTCATCTGGAAAGATGTCAAGGAACTTGTTGTAGGTAAGTATACCCAGACTTTTATAACAGAGGTCATTATTTATTTCAATATCGCCACTATGATTCCAACTTGGAACCTTTGGCTTAATAGCCAGCCAATCAAGCTCTCAGATGATCTCTCTAGCCAAATGGTATAGAGTGGCTAGTATTTACCAGGGTTACATACCTCCCTTCTACGGAAAATAACTCATACTCAAGTTTCCGGGGATTACAGTGATGGTTATGAAAGTAAAACTTAGTATTATCCCTCAGTCCCTTTGTAACAGAGGTCATTGTTTATTTCTTTTGATTTGATTTGAACTCTGGCTTACTAGTCTGATGCTCAACCAATCAAGCTAAAGAGAAGTTCTCTCTAACTGAGTGGTATGTTGTGGCTAGTATATTACCAGGTGTGCACTTTTATCCTGCAACTACTACAAAAGTACAGCTTTTTTGAGACATTGATCATGTATTCTCTATATCTATGACCCTAAGGAAGAATAGATTATCATTTTGTAGAATTGGAGAGGATTTTAATTGTTTGTAATTTTTCAGGACGTATCCGTACCACACCTGAATACCGAGACTCCGACATGGAGACTACAGTGTTGTCTCTAAGTCTCTTCCCTGCTTCCTACATTCAGTACCCTGGAGATGACAGGTAATAAACCTTCCTTTCTGTCATTTTTACATAAAGTACTGTGTTCTTTGTCTGTGTCAGTCAGTTTTACATAAAGCACTGAGTTCTTTGTCTGTGTCGGTCAGTTTTACATAAAGTACTGTGTTCTTTGTCTGTGTCGGTCAGTTTTACATAAAGTACTGAGTTCTTTGTCTGTGTCAGTCAGTTTGTTTTAGACAGTTAGGTTATTACTCAACCTTCACACTTTTTCTTGTACCTTGCAAAGTTTAAGTTTCATTTCACATTTATACAAACAATTTGTAAAAACAAACTTTTCCTAAGTCACTGTCTCAACTCTTAATTGGTTAGGCCCTGTATCATGTACATTGCAGATGAATTACAGGTAGATTACATGTTCTTTGGTAAACGAGTCCCTGTCTAGATGTAGATTACTGTAATTTATATAAACATGTATAAAGTGTATGTAGGGCTTCTTTATAGTTACACAGTAAAAGTGATTTATTCACTTTATCAAACAATTTATTTTTAAATTTACCTTGTTACTTTCTAGAATCTATTTCCGCTTTGAGGCAGCCTGGGATAGCTCCCTCCATAATTCCCATCTTCTCAACCGCATGACATCCTCCGGAGAGCGCGTCTACATGACACTGTCTGCCTATATTGAGGTGGAGAACTGTGACCAACCGGCATGCATCACCAAGGATCTCTGTGTTATTGTTCATTCCAGAGATACCAAGATATCTACATCAAGGTATGTACTCAGGACGTTTAGGTCACTATTAAATGTCAAGGCCATTTAGTATCAAGTTGAATGCCAATGTCAAGGTCATCTTCTTACAAGTTTTCTGCGTACAAGGTTACTGCTTAAATGTCATGTAATCTGTTTACAAGGTGATTGTTTAATGTCAAGGCCATCTAGTATCAAGTTGAATGCCAATGTCAAGGTCACCGTTAAATGTTAAAGTATCAGCAAATCCATTCCTAAAAATTAGTCATTTAGTACTATATATAAGTCATATCTCTTAAGTGGATGTACATCATATCATTCAACATGTGTGTTTGTATAATTATTTACCTTTGAGTAGGTAATACTTTTGATATAACATAATCACAATGCACATGGTGAATATTAGTTATTACAAAATGGGAGATATATGCTTTAATCATTAGTTATTACTGTTTGTTTGAGTGTACCCGTACATGTGTGTTTAAGTCTGCTTTAACTGTATCTGCGAGGTACAGCTTATACATGTTCTAAAGCAAATGTGTTGTCTTACCACAATATGATGAAATTGTGTTATCATGAGAGCTTATACTTTGCATGTGATAAATTTTGTGTCAATGCAGTGCTATCCTGTGGACAACCCAAATGATTGATCCTTCCCAGCATGCATCAGCACTGCCCTTAGCACATGTGACAGCAGCATCCATGTTATAAATGATGCCGAAATCATTGTAACATCTTTGTGACTTTGGTAGCAATTAATATCTTCCTCTTTATTTTTTCATAACAATTTTTAAAGAAATTGTTTTGAAATATACATGATTCTTTTTTTAACAAAAATCATTAGAAAAAAAATAAAGCAAGACCGTCAGTTATCTTTATCATTAGTAAATCAGCAATATGGAATATCCATTTGGGTTACCAGAATAATTACAAATAAAAAAATTGTGATAGTTTCCTGAAAACAGTGGCTAGTTAGTACATGTATCACAACATTGATGATTACCTTCATGTAAATGTGAACAGTGTTATTGAGGGTATTTATTTCTTGTTTGATATTGTGTGCCTGCTCTCTGTGTACGCTTCAACTCTTGACAACACCTACAGTATAATATTCTACACATTGTACTTGTTTCTATACATCATTACCTAACCTGCCTGTAATTGTAGAGCAACTAAATCATATTGTGCCATGGTGTGATGTAATCCATTTCTTAGTATCAGCTCTTCAGTTTGTTCAACTTATTGACCTTGACCCACATTTCAAATAATTTATGTAAGATAGACCCACTTTCAATAGTCAAGAAACCGAGAATGAAATTATTGGGAAGCAAAGAGCTGTAGAGTTTGTCCAAATAACCTTGACCCACTTTCAAAATTACAATTGTTAACAACAAATGTTTCTTTAAATCTGAATAACCGAGATGAAAGCTAGGATCGTGATATATTTCCTATATAACTACTTTTTTCTTTAGGAATTCAGATAAAATTTTATACAAAGGCCAACTACAGTTCTTTAGATTAGCCTGTATTTATGGCTTCTAAGGTAGTTTTCCAGTTGGATTACAGGGTGTCATTTTCTATGTCACTATTGTCAAATGTGTTGAGATCTGACAATATGGGCTAGAGTTTTATCTCTGTAACATATGGGAAATTAAGGGTTTAGGTCACAGGAGTGAATTTTTAATCTTCTGTTCATAAGCTATAGATCAGGTGAGTGATACAGGACCATGCAGCCTTTTGTATTGAAGTGTAAAATCTTGTCTCATTCATGCTTGTAAGATTTTTGCTGGTGCATGTTAGGACAGATGAATGCCTGACACAGGTTGTGACACAGGATGGCAGACTGATGCCTGGGAAGTTTTGAGCTTTGTGTTACATTGCCAGAGTTTGTTGTATTTAACAGCCTGTCCCTAATTTAGTGCTCGTTTCAGGACACTGAGGAACTTGTTTGGTGGCTCTAAGAACCAGGATAGTAATCGTGTGAGTGGTATCTACGAGCTGTACCTGCGACGGGCGTCCGATTCAGGTAGTCCAGGTATTGTGTTGTGTTTGTGTTGTCTCACCCAGCACCAAATGAATGATCCACCTTCCCCTTCCACCACTTGACAGCTCAACCTTCCACCTTCCCACCAATCTGCACAAATAGACTATATATACTAGTCAGTATACGAGTAATATCGAAAAACAAACCTGACTGGCCATTATTGTATGCATCTACAGATTTGTAATACTATTTTTGACTGCATGGTCACACTGCAATAGGACTTACTTGTCATGACTACATGTTATTGGTTGTTGCATGAAAATTTGTAATGCCACGGAGTGATTGGCTAGTTGTAATATTCCTGTATTAGATATAATATGATCACCTAATTCCTTGTTATTTTGATTGACTTTGGACCTATTACTTTAGCCCCTGTAACACTTACTTTGATTGGCTGCAGATCTGTGGTCACTTAATTCCCTTTAACACTTACTTTGATTGGCTGCTGATATATTTCCTCAGTTCCTGTAACACTTACTTTGATTGGCTGCTGATCTATTTCCTCAGTTCCTGTACCACCTACTTTGATTGGCTGCTGATCTATGATCACTTAATTCCTTGTAACACTTACTTTGATTGGCTGCTGATATATTTCCTCAGTTCCTGTAACACTTACTTTGATTGGCTGCTGATCCATTTCCTCAGTTCCTGTAACACTTACTTTGATTGGGTGCTGATCTGATTTAAACCACATGATCTGTTTGTTTTATATTTATGAAAAATGAAAAATCTTCATCCTTCTTGAATACCAGATTTACTGATAATGTGCGTGTCCATTGTGAATTAGAGTGAACTTTCATTTCTTCTCTTCTAGACATATAATTATGCTTTTATTCAACCCAGAATGTCCATCAATTCCTAACACATTTGGAATTCCATATCATTTAATCTGTATACAGAGACATTACACTTCCTGTTGCCTCTAACTTCCTTATTCTCCCTAATTACACCCACTGCCATTGCAAATGGCCCTTCCCACACAGCTAGCCAATCTTAAACGATTACTGGTAACCCTAACCCCCACAAACATAAACACCACTGTTAGATAAAACAATGTAGAATAGGATAGTAGATATAGTTCTAGATTGAAAGATAGAGAACACAATTTGTACATAAACTGTAATGATATGTAAATAATCCATACATCACATTAGAAAATGTTGGTTAAAAGTCTTCTATGGCGATTGATGGTATCTATTATCTGAAAGTTTCTAAATATTCCTTGATGATAATTTTAGTTAAAAAAGTAAAATTAATTTAGATATGTCATATTTGGAATTGGTTCTTATTCTGGAAATTTAGTCTGTTTTCACTTACAGGTAAAGTTGAACATTTGTAGCCTGTTTTGGCTTCTCTATTTTAAAATTAGTGAATGATATATCAAAATGGTTATATTTTAATTCAAATATTTTAAAGAGTATCCTGTTATGTTTCTTAGGTGTACAAAGACGACAACGCCGCGTCCTTGATACATCCTCGACATATGTTCGGGGTGAGGAGAACCTGAACGGCTGGCGTCCCCGCGGTGACTCACTCATCTTTGACCACCAGTGGGAACTGGAGAAACTCACACGTCTTGAACTTGTAGAGAAGTCACGCCACGTGTTGTTACTACGTGAAAAACTTGCTGAACAAAACAAAACACATGAGCTGAGTAAACTGGACAAAGAAGCATCCAACAAGTCAGCTAAAGCAAGGCAGCAAGAAGAGACGAAACAAGATGAGAAAATACAACCTCCTACACCGGACAAGGTCGACAACACTACCGAGGAAAAACTCATAGAGAAATGGGAAAAGGTGGATGAGAGTGAAAAGGGCAAAAAGCTTAGCAAACGTGAGGTTATATTTAATTTTGAAACTAACGGTGATCCAGAGAAGGAACTAATGGCCAAATGCCTGAGGTTGATGATTCATGGACGGGTTCCATTGTCTCCACCTCCAATCAAGGTAACTACATCAAAAAGACTACTTTTCTTGAGTTTCATGATCAGAGATACAGGTTCTGTCTGACCATCCGGGTGTCCGTCCTTCCATATGATCACACTTTTGGGGATGATCATATATACTGTGATACATATTTATATATTTTGTAGGATAACATGTAAAAATTCATTTTCACTGAAAAAGAAGATTTTTTTAGGATTGATATTTAAATAATGTTAAAATTTAATTCAGTTCTAAGATTAACACTGTAGATTAAACATATATTTCTGTGAAATCTGACGTCACCTTTCAATGTGTAGAATAGCATGCTTATCTGTATTGTTTGAAATGCGTCTAGACGCCGACTGTGATGTTAGACTCTGTGGCCAGTACAAACACAAACACATCAGAGGACAGTGATGGTGTGACAGATTCGATGACTACAAGTATGTCGACATCCTCAGCCTCGGAACTCTTCAGGTAAATATCTGATCTGTTAGTTGTCTGTAAATTTGTTTTCATTATATTATCTATGCATGTTTTATTCTCATGTATTTCAATTCACAATTTAAAAGACCTGGCTTCATTTCTTTTCAGTAAACAATCCACCAACAACAACTCTATCCAATTGTCAAAATCATGTGAAAGTCTGTCTACAAACTCCAACACTTCCCAGGATTCCACAGCAGACAGGAAGTTGTCTCTGCCAATCAAATCAATGAGTCTAAACCTAGACAGCAACATTTACATTCCACATATAGAAGAGGTGCGCGTCAGTCCTGTTGTTTCAAGAAAGGGCTATCTCAACTTTCTGGAGGAGAAGCACAGCGGCTGGGTCAAACGCTGGGTGGTAAGTAAATCCGGAGAAAAACTATTCAGTTTAACTTAGTTATTTCAAAGTCAGTGGGATCGTGGTAAAACTTTATTTCAAAGTCAGTGGGATCATGGTAAAACTGGGAGCTGTCTGATTATTTTATTAAGTAAATGCGAAGTTTAGTGTGAAGGTTGACTGATACCAATAAAATATTAAATGAAATCTTCAAGTTATATAAGTTTGAGATATTGAGATTTGACTGTTTATATATTCTGAATTGTAAAAACAAGCACAGGTCACAACTCAAATGTAAAAGCAAGGTTGAATGTATATGTCAGGGGTCAACTTATCGTTCATCATTAATCTAGGATGAAATGATTGGTACTTGTACATTATAGATCATAAGCCAGGGGTCATGCTATATAAACAGTACATCTTGAAAAGATCAGAAATAATTTGTAGTAAAAAAAAACTCTAATAAGTTTTAGAGGCAATAAGGTCCTTCAGTGTTTTGAAGGGTTGGCAAGAGAATTTAGATTTCTGATGTGTCTATTACCAGGTAACGACTGTCATTGGAATATGGTCACCTACAAATATATCACTTTATGTGTGCGTTTTCTAGATATCTCTTGATGTGTGTGTTTTCTAGGTTGTGAGGCGTCCATACGTGTATATCTACAATTCTGAGAAGGATCCGGTAGAGCGTGGAATTATCAACTTGGCCACATCACAGATAGATTATAGTGAAGACCAGCAAGCTTTACTGAAGGTACCTGTACATACGATATCATACTGAATACAGACATGGTTGTTTCAGTAACGTGACAAGATATTCATTCAGTCATTGACAGAGTACTACTGTGTATTTATATACAATAGAGATTTAATAACTAAGTGTTACTGAGAACTAGATACTGCCACACAAAATAGGTGGTTTGTGAGAACTAGATACTGCCACACAAAATAGATGGTTTGTGAGAACTAGATACTGCCACACAAAATAGGTGGTTTGTGAGAACTAGATACTGCCACACAAAATAGATGGTTTGTGAGAACTAGATACTGCCCACACAAACCAGATAAATATCTAACTTTGTTAGGCACCTTTAGATACTGATCACATTACTGGTAATTTTCAAGTGTAACAAAGTACCAGCAACATTGTAATAGGAAAAAAGTGTAATTATGGAGCTAATTAATAACTCTCGAGATACAAAATTTTTACTTCAGAGTTTCTGTACTATGAATCTTCCTATTGAGTTCAACAAATGGTAAATAGTTTGGAGCAAAATAAAAAGTACTAACTAATAAAAAATGAATACACCATATCTTTATTTTAAGTCATAATTGATATACTGACAGGGTACTTGATAAACCATTAATGTGCCTGGAAAGTGGAATTTTAGAGTGAAAAATCAATAAAAGTTAAACATTGTTAATGTCCTTATGTTGTTATTGTACTATACTCATTCCTTGGTCAAAACCAATTTTTACTTCAAAACTATTGACCAGACTTAGGGATTTTTTCAAACTGTTAAGAGTATGCTGGTACTGTAATGTGTATACTTTGAACCTCTGTTGAAGTCTTTATGTATAGGATAAAGAACTACTTTATTACTTTTAGGCACGAAACACATTCTCTGTTTTGACCAAGCACCGTGGGTTCCTGATGCAGACCCTAGATGAGAAGGACTTCCATGACTGGCTATATGCTATCAACCCGCTATTGGCTGGTCAGATCAGGTAAGGCTGGTCTTTTGCTATCAACCCACTTCTGGCTTTCATGGAGATATGCCCAACAGGTCCTTTGTGTAGTACTTTATAAACCTTAACGAAACTGCTGAGGGTAAATCACAATGCAATCAAAGTATCACGTGTTAGTTTTACTCGTCAGACATGCGTACATGTAATTCATGACTAAGTCAATTTTTTTAGCATTGAATTGAAGGAGTGTTAAGTTTTTAAAATCTGATATTCTTGTTAACAATGATCCTTATATTATGTGTTGCAGGTCAACGTTGTCACGACGTAAACAACCAGTACAGATATGAGTTAATTAATTCACACCGACTGATGAGAGCAAGTGAATGAGAGGATTGAGAGAATGGTCTGACCATCTTCAGCTGAACATTAGAAGTGATAAATGGACAGGAGACATTTTCTGTCAATGTATAGGTATTCTGCATTATTTGAAAAGCTTCTCCTGGAAATATTTGTGAAAATTCTAAAAGAAAGATATTAACAAAACACAGTCTGATGTGTTTGCCATTGGAATATATTCTAATTTAAGAGAATTTGGAATATTAAGTTTTGGCTCTCTTTTCTGTTGAACAAAGTTCCGCCAGCTAGATGAATGGATGTTAATAGCCAATGAGAGAACTTGTTACATAACCTCTGTAAAATTCATCAAATGAATAGTAACTATAGATATAGATTTGTCATTTTCATTTACCCATCATGCAAAGTGAATATATTGTGAAACTATGTGATCCTGTATATTTAACAGTGTAAGTTATTTTGTGTGGAGTTTTCTCCCCTTTTGCAAAATAAAAAATGCATTTTATCATGAAGCTCGAGTAAGCCCTGAAATAACTCTGATGCTGAGCTTAATTATAGTACAAGGTAATATATATATATATACTGGGATGAAAGAATATGCTTCAGAGAGTTTCCAGGAGCTTTTCCATCATATGTTGTGGTGAACTGTTATAAACACATTAAATTTGACTGTGTAGTTGTATAAGCATCTTTATATAAACCTGAATAATCTTTACTTTATTCTCATTGTAATGATGTTTGTGTTGATATATGATATGTGTACATTTTTTATCAGTGAAAATGTGAAAACAGGTCACATTAAAATTTGAAACTGTATTTGACAAAACATATTTTAGCTAAAATTGAAAGAAACGAAAAAAATCCAAATAATTTGGTATTTTTATTGATCAATGTCGTAAATGAAACAGGTGTTTACCATCAATCTTTATGAAGAATTTTTGTGAATAGTTAATTTTTACATGTTTTATATTCTATATGTTGGAACGAATATACTGTTTTAGAAGGAAAAGAAGGCTCTGATTCGATATTGCTTTAAACAAGCATTCCTAAACCTGTAAACTTTTAATGTAGTTTCATGATAGTCAGATAAGACTGCTTAGAAGGTTTTTAAAGAAAGAACATGTTGAAGAATGTTGAACAAATTTTGTTAAAATTCAGGATGATTTATAAAATAATTGTTTGATATACAAGATGAATGTACCTGTTACTTATATAAAGTGAAGAATGTTTACGTCATTTAAATAACTATGACTAAATTCCTCCTAGCATATTAAATAAAAATGTAATGATCTGAAATTGTTCGAGTACACATTTACTGAGGTACTTATAACAGGAACTAATGTAGACTAAACACACGTCTTGTACATGTAACATTACCAGATACACCAGTCCGAATGGAACAGAAAACATTTTACTCTAAATTAATGAAGAAACAAGTGAATTTCATGAAAGATATTTATTTCTCAATCATTATGTACCAAGGACATTTTCCAATATAAGTCCAAATCACTCACTAGCTTCATAATTTTAGTATAAAGTCAAATTTTACCAATTTTTCACTGACTGCATAGATTTAATGTGGCACTAGATAAAAGTAGCCTAGCCAACATGCCAAATCTGACTATCAAACTATTGTATCAGTTTATTTGATGTTGTCAAATATGTCATGTTAATTGAGATCAAGCATATATTGACAGCTGTCAAGTGTGAACGTATAAATATGATATATAAATCTGTAATAATGGAAAACAGTCATGTTGTTGTGTAAAGATGTTTTCCAGTAGAGAAGGGACAGGAGATCATATAACATTCCTTTACATTGAAATCAATGATAATATAATTTGAGCTTTGTTTGAGGATTTAACCTCTGACATTCATGGGATATGTCCTATTAGGTCTGGTAAGAGCTGTTTGTACATGTTTAATTTTTGATTAGGATATAATATCAGATACATGTCCTTGTTCCAGCAATGACTGTACAGAAATTTCATCCCTAATAACCTCATGGAAATCTTTGGTGTATTGAGTTATATAATATACTGCGTCATTCATTTGTATTATAGTTTGGTTTGCTATCCAAACTTTCCAAATATTTAGATAAAGTAACGTCTAACTGACAGAGTAAATATGCTTAACCTTGAGTATCACCCTCTCAAATACCCCAAAAGAGTAATAATTATATATATGCATGTATTTTATACTAAGGGAGATAAATCCAAACTAAGGGAGATAATTAATAGAAAATATTGAAAAGACTACAAGAGTTCTGATATTGCTGACCGTTCATTTCAAAATTTGTCAATGAAATGTACAATATCGTTATCAAATTAGTTTCTCAACCATTTAAGAATAGAATTTCTATTTGTACCATGTGATAGAAGTTGATTATTTCTTTTTCCCCCAAATTTCATACCGGTTTAACAATAGATATTACTGATGTACAAAATCTTATAACTATTATCTCAAACATGTTTTGTAAATATTATGCTTCATGTGTTCCATTGCTAATTGTATATAAAGAAATGTGAATAGTAATTTATCATTAATGAAATATAACAGTAGTGTTTCTGTATTATTTTTGCTACCAAGTTTCTTGTACGTGAGCAACTCTTAGTGTTTAGCTACAAAGTTCTGTGTGATGTTTTTTTTTAACTCATTTAGAGGTGCATACTTTCCTTTTGTATTTACAAATATATGTTGTGACTGAATACTCAGTGAATTTTGCAGAAAATTATTTTTGAAGATATTCCTCTTTTTGTTTCCAAAAAGTGTTGTGAAATATTTATTGACACTATTTATTCCGCCTTAGTAATTCTATGTACTGTTAACAACATTTGTTTGAAATGTATGATATTTATCATGAATCAATTATTTTTTTCCATTATAACATTGATGGATTACAAAAGCTTGATGACAAACCTACGATAAATATGAAACACTTCTTTTCACAAAATTATTTTCAAGTGAGAAAGAAAATTAATGTTCTGTTACAGACATTAAACATAAGCTTTATGTATTGTACTTGCATTCAAATTAAAGTTACTTAAAGTAGAACTAGAAGCAAGTATAGATGATATAATCATAGGTTTGAAGTCTTTTCAATGTTCGAAATTAACTGACAATTTTATTTTACAAAGTTCATGTACAAAACAATTTCTAGTATAGATACGAAAAAGCTATTATTTGATCAGTGAGTGACCGACCTATTGAAAACTCTGTCTTTCGCTGTTTTTGACCACTCCGACCATCCCATAGAACTTACAGCTATGATTCTGCTTCATCATCCTCTTATTTTCAATGGCATAATTCTTGAAATTTCCAATTTTGATGAGTTGTGATGAATGATGCTGCAGCATGTTTTTGCACTGTTGAGATGTTGATAGACAAGTTAAGTGCTTGATACTTAACTATTATTTTTGTTTATTGTTACTGAATTCTATAGTTTATTTACTTTGTTTTTACTTGATTTGATTTGTTCGATGTTGAATAGATTGTGCCAAGAAATAATTTGTCATATTTTGATCCTCAAGTTTGTGCGGATTTTACTTCATGTGAAAAACAAACAAAAACCATTAAATGTAGAGAAATGGAAAAATAAAAAATACAACTTTAAGAAGTAGAAATTGAGATCAGATGTAAGTGTTTTATACATCTCCAGAATTAGGGTGAAAAAAACCATCCTTTCATGGAATATTAGGAATTCAGAACATAATTGAGCCATGATATGTGACTCAGACTACCCAACATTTCATAGTGATCATTTAGAATTTTTATTTGCTTTAATTTCAGCGCTATTTTATTTATTTACAATACCTCAGTATCATTCTAGATATACTCACAATGGTCCTAGTCTTTTATTTCAGGGATGTGATCATACTGTTTGTCCGCTAGATAATGATTGAGTTTAAAATCAATATGAAATATGTACTTTTACTTTTGATTGTACTGTCCACCAATAGTTCTCCTAGAGAGCTGTAAGTCAGCCATTTGCCTTAGCAATCAATTCTATGTGACGCAAATATTAATGTGTGGAAGAATGAAAATATTTCACATGGAAAATATGTAACTTGTTTGACATTTCAATGTTTGATTTTTTAATTGCTTCATGCTTTGCTTGCCATTCAGTATTTTGTAGATGTACTATGTATTTAAGTTTAAAATCTGTAATCAGTCTGTTTCTTATCTTATGATTGTCCTGGAGAGCTGCTTTGCTTAGTCAGTTTCTTGTTCCTAGTGACTAGAAAAATGAATCAGTGGTTGTAGATATATGGTATATCCCTACAATAGGCCTATATACTATCTCTTGTTAGTTCTAACAATAGAAGTATTCCTAGAGGAAGCGAAGGGAGGTTAACTCTAGATATCAAATGTACATACTTCAAAAGTGGGGTTAGAATTAAGTGATGGTGGACATGTCCTCAAAGGGATGAAACATTAATACATGTCTCATTAAGTCTCTACCGGAACTATGTAGAGACATGCTGAAAATGCAGGAATAGAAGATGATCTTGTAGGAACAGTATTTGGTTGTATAGGATCAGAAGGTGGTTGTATAGGATCAGAAGGTGGTCATGTATGATCAGAAGGTGGGCGTGCAGGATCAGAAGATGGTTGTGTATGAATCAAAGGTGGTTTTATAGGAACACAAGGTAATTGTATAAGAACAGAAAGTAGTCTTATAGGAACAGAAGTTTGTTGTATTAAAATTGAAGGTGGCCATTTAGGAATATAGAAGTTGGTTGTATAGAAACAGAAGGTGGTGTTGTAGGAGAATGAGTTGGTAGTATAGGAACAGAAGGTGGTTGTTTAGGAACAGAAGTTTGTTATGTAGGAACAGAAGGTGGTCAGGAAGGAAGAAAAGGTGATTGTTTAGGATCACTAGGTGGTTGTATAGTAACAGAAGATGGTTGTGCAGGAACATAAGTTGGTTGTATTAGAATAGAAGGTGGCCATGTAGGAAAAAGTGATCATATTGGAACAGAAGGTGGTCTTATAGAAGAAGAACTTGGTTGTGTAGGAAGTGGGTGTGAATGTTTAGAAATAGAATATGATTGTGCATGGATAGAAGGAGGTCAAAAGTGAACTGAAGATGTTGGAATGTAAGGTGGTTTTGCAGGAGTAAAAGGTAGTTGTGTAGAGACAGGTTTTTGTGTGTGAATACATTTTGGTCAGATGTTTGGAATTGAGTTTGTAATTCCAGAAAGTGACTTCATGACAGTTTGATGCCTTTAAAATAGCATCCTGCTAAATCTACTAGATAAAAACCCCATTAGAAGTTTGCAACCTCAAGTCTCCAGAGAAAGCAGTTGACGAGATAATTTTTTTTGTATTTTCTGAGAAGATGTTTTAAGTTTCTATTTCATGTTGTTTTGCCAATATGTTGATTTATTCTACTTTTTAAACATTAGTGGCATTTTTCTATTCAATATTTTAATTATAGAAAATGAATTGGTGGTCCATCAAAAAAATTGTAATCTTCTTAAACACCAGCGTACAGTTCCTGGTTTTCATCAAGATGTATCGGAGTAGTTGGTGATGATCCACTCATAACTATGATAGTTTTGACCTTTGTAATAATATCACTATTAATACATTTCATGTAAACAATAGGGCGATGTTACGTGTAAGCGCCTGTGTTGGGGTAGGGAGAAGGTTTAGAGATGGTTAG